GAGTTTTCAATGTCTGTTTTTCAGAAACAGCATTTAGTGGAAAAAGCAAATGAAATTACTAAGAATCTGGTTAGATATTCTCTGAAGCTCCTTCTGCTAAGAAAATCATAAAACATGTTGCCGTTTCTTCAAGAAGGAAGATACACGTTATACTTTTGTTTCCACTTTGACTCTGCGAGTTTATGCTGGTTTTAAAATTCTTCAAATAACGATCCTTAGGTTTACTGAAAGAGTTTCCAGGTAGGAACTTTGAATATTTAAATACGCCTTGAACCGAGATTTCCTTTATAGGAAAAATTCAGAATAATTTTTTGCAACTATATAACAAGGAATAACTAGTAGATGTATTAAATCCCTTGCTCTCTCGTGTCTTTTATAAATATTCTGCACACATGATTTCCTTCCACTAAAATTCTTCTAGATTGGTTTGTCAATATAATCTGTGATGGAAACAAGCAGCTGATGGGGGTAGCTTTGTTAAATATCGCCAATGAACTTTGAAAATTTATTTTACATAATACAATAAACATTTAATAATACTTCAAATGATTTTAATTGTTAATTAATTCAAATATTTAATTAAAAAAGTAACTAAGTATCATTAACATTTCAACATTGAATTTGAGAGTTATTAAATATTATTGATAAAAATGGAATCTAGCTGGAATATGATTTTGTCCGCCAAATACACAACAAATGTTCAATTACATTCTGTACATTTTCACATCTTTAAGATTCCACGTAGATAAAAAACAATTTGCTGTTTAATAATCCTATATATGAATGATGGTATAAATTTTCAGTAACTTAAGAGAAATTTTGAGTAAGCTGGTGATGATGGATGACACTCGAGTCTCGATGATTTCTTGGATAATATTGGTAACTTCATTTTCCCGCCTCCGGTGATATTAATTGGAATGATAACGGCCACTCTAACAACGATCGAGTTATCCCTATGGAAACCAATCCACGATCGCCGTCTTCTTCAATAAAATCCGATAACATGAATCGATGGTCGGGTTAAATAGTACGCGAATGTTTACTCATGACGGATTCTGGTAATAGTCTCCACTTAAAGAGGATTTCTTCTCCTCGCGATATTTCCCTTGAGCAATTCACCGGAAGCTTTGCTAACAACTGGATTTTAACAGCAAGCTTCATAATCCCTTGTTGCGATAGACTGATTTAGGAGAAGGGGAAAGAGAACTTTCTCAGTAGTTATATAATCATTTCATTTTACCGTTTTTTTTTTTTTTTTTTTTTTTTTTTT